GGAAAGAGCGAAGGAGCCGGACTCAGGAAGCCTGAGTTCTCTCCTTTCCTCTCACTGCTGTGCAGTTAGGTGAGATCATCGATTCCCGGAGGACCGGAGTTTTCTTCTGGGTTAGATTAGGTGCCTTCTGATGTCTGTGATGCTAATGAGACTGGCCTGAGCAGATCCACTGAGTCACAAAGACTAAGAACTGGATAAAGACAAGGACAATCTGACCTTGGAAACAATGGCGGGGGGAGCTATTCTGAAGAACGAAGTTATTCTGAGATAGGGAAGAAAAAATGGAAAAGTATGGGTAAAACGTCAGGCTAATTTACACAATGACCACAGCCCTCTACAACAGTAGCAAAATGAATTTCAAAACTTGGGGTGGCGGAGTATTAGAACTCTTGTCAAAGGAAACTTTATGAGAGGAGTCAAATATGGAAAGCTGACAATTATATTGGGCTATTCTCAGCACTTTGCATGAACTCAACCCACTGAATCCTCAGAAAACCTAGTTGAGTAGACAGACGATTTTATTCTTTTCATTTTGTAAACGAGGAAACTGAGGCAGACGAAAACGAGCAGTTCGCCTAAAGGCACACAGCGGGTAAGTGGTGGTGCCAGGATTTGACATGCCACAGAGCTGTATCCTTAAACCACTGCTCTTAGGTGAAAGTGGGTCTCACCCGGTCAGCTTTTCCCTGGTTTTGTCTTGAGGCTTTGGAGTAAGAACTTTAAAAACTAATGGTGTCCAGTAAGCCACAGACAACCCTGGGCCCTGTTGGCCTGAGAAATATGCAAGGACTCGGGAAATAAAAGGCTGTGGGGTTGGGGGGTGGGGAGAAGGGCAGAATGAAGGAGGGAAGGAGGAAAGGGAAGACCACACCTGTTATAGAAGGTGTTCCCTGCTGGAACAAACCAGATCTTTGTCATTAAGATCTTGGTCTGGGTGGTCTGGGTGCTTTTCTGAAGCTAGATGCTGTGTAACCACTGCCTCGCCGGTTCATAAATTATTATGGAGCTGAGAGCAATTTTTCCTAAGCCTATCCATACATTATGGTGCTGAAAGGTAAATAGATCACCTCTTTTTGCACTATCCATACTCCTGCCAGGTGGTCTGGTGGATGGGTGGGAGAGGGTTATACTGTTGTGGCTGTCACAGAATCTTTGTCTCCACTTACCCCCTTCAGTGGAGCATGATAGCCCACTGAGGCTCTAACTAGGTGGTAGGTGAGGGAGAGCTGGTATCCTGACCCACCCTCTTCCCCCTCCCCCATGGCACAGTCTGATATACAGGTAGTTTGAAAAAAAAAATTGCTCCTCTCAGTTGAGATTTGCTGACTTAAAGCAACTTAAATGAAGCAAGCAGAATAAAATTAAAAATTTTAATTATAGATCCTATTACCTCAAAACCAAGGATAGCGAGGTTGACCCATCACTCTTATCCAGAGCATGCCTTTGCCACCTCTCTGCACGATTAGACCATCTCTTCTCTGAATGGGGAGATGGATAGGCTTTGGCAGCCATTCTGGATCTGTGCAGACTCCTGGAGAAGGCGCTGCCTCACCTTGCCTTGGCCTTTCCACCTACCTGCTTTTAGTTTCATGATGGGAACAACCTATATCACCACCTCTACCTCCTCCATCCCTTGCTGTCTATGGTCTAGGGCTTCAGTGAAGTAACTAATGGTTTGTCCATCACACACTTGCGTGCCTTCAGAAATGTTTCCTAAGGAATTATTGCGGCTGTTGTTTTTAGGTTCTGATTTTTGCTTAGGTTTTTAGTCATTTGCATTCTGCATCTGTGGCTCTAATCGATGGACTATCCTAGTGTTTTCTTAGATGAAGACAATCGCTCACCATCTTCCAGATTTTTGCCTGATCTGCGTTCTACCTCTGCTAGTATTTGTTCAGTATCTTTAAGTTAGCTAACTTCTTTAACTGAAAGAAATTTACTTGAAAGTTGTATCACAACTATAAATGGAAAATTAGCACAACTTGCTATAAAAAGCGGGTAACCAGAAAATGAAATACGATGAAAATACAAATGTAGTTATATTCTAGCTCACGACTATTGTCTGTGAATGCTCTGAGCCTAAGGCTGCCTTCTCCATTAAAAAGGAAAGAGTAATAAGTGTTCAAGAAATATTAGAAATCTATACCAATCTGACACGGTGTCCTCGGTGATATCAGAAGGATTGAAAAATAATGGGAGAGGGAATCATTTTCTCACTATGTGTTTCAACGTTATTTAAGGCCATGCGGGCATTCCACCTAAAACAATCACGTGTGTCTCCAAATCACACCTGATACACATTCCACAATCATTTTAGTCACAGTCAGTGGTCATAACCTGAATAACATTTGGTTTTCAACCTAGAGAGAAGCCTTCTGCTTTCGCATCCACACGCTCCCCCATCGCAGCCCATACCTTGTCTTATAGAGGTGGCTTCACGTCATGCTTCCAGGCTCTGCGACTTCTGTTTTATTCTCTCCTCTCCTCTCCTCTCTTCTCTCTGTATCAGTCAAGGTTTTTGATGGTAGTAGAAAACCCACTCTGTCTAGTTTAAAAAGGAAAGAAATACTTCAAAAGAAAAACATGTAATTTACAGACTCATTGTAACTAAGCTTTGAGAAGAAGCCAGAGCCCAGGCCAGGCAAGAAGTTGGAGCCTTAGCCAACCATCTGGTTGGAACAACTTCATGGACAACACCTCAGCCACAGCCACTGGACACCTGTGGTGCTGGGCTCCCGGTTCCAACACTGCTGAACTGTCTATGTGCTGCCATCAGTAATTTCTCTACTGTCCCTGCTTCTTTGAATCACCAGCCAGAGAGTAATATCCTATACGGGAGCATCTGATTATCTGGCATAGATTTCCTGCTGTGTCCTAGCTACTAGGAGTAGCGAGAAGAAGGAGATCCCCCTCTCCCACTTCTGGTGTCTGTAATGGAAGATGCAGAACTGGGTCCTTCTAATACTACACACAGTGGAGAATTTCTCCCAAAGAGGGGCCATGTACCCTCAACATTACTTACCACTTTCTTCATTCTGCAAATATTAATTAAGCACCGGCTGTATTCCAGGCACTATGCTAAGCTCTGGATTTGGTGAGGGACGACACCAACATGTCCCTGCCCTCAGGGATCTTACTTACAGTCTAGTGTGGAGGCTGAATATTAATCAAATAATCACATAAACATATCATTATAATTGTGTGTTGAGACTATACTTGGTGGGGATGGGGAGACTGACTTAAACTGGGGTTCAGGGAAGGCTTGAGCTACATCCTGAACAAGTAGGAGCTGGGTATAAGGAGCTGCAGGGGTTAGGGGGTAGGGAGGTGGGGTTGGGGGAAGGCATGGGGAAGGGGTGTTCCAGGAAATGGAACTGCTCATTTGAAGAGCTTTGAAGAATTCCAAGAATAATGAAGGGGTGTGATTTATTCACTTGCGACAAAGATATTGATGAGCAACACAGTATGTTATAACTTTCTTCACAACACACATACAGGTCATGGTGAATTCTAATGTCTGTGGAGGCAGCTTTTGTGCACAAAAAGGACTTATTGGGGGTAACTGACTTTTAAAATATTTGATTCATTAAAGTCATAAATATACAACCTAGTTCTTTTTGAGTTTTCCATATATTTATTATTTTATTTGTTAATCTAATTGTAACAGCTACTTTAAGGAAGATTTTATAACTTAATAATATGTTTTTAAAATTTAGCATAATAAATAGTTTGAATACAAATTTAATATATTTTCTTTTAAAGCACTTGAATATTTGACAAAACTTTCTGAATGCTTAGAAAATTCTAGGAAATCTGTTTAATTAAACTTTATACGTACCGAGAATCCTAAATTTTTAGACACCCCAGTGCTATTTACAGGGGCAGAAGAGTAGAATGATTAAGAACACTCACTCTGGGGTGAGATCATCAGGACTAGATGGGGACACTGGTCAACCCACTGCAGTGAAGAAACTGGTAAGATGCAGCAATCAGTTCACGGGAGAATCCACAAATTGACATACTTAAAGATCAGGAATATTGAAGTAAATATGCTAATGGAGGCAAAACTGACTTCTTTCATGCAGGGGGCGGTGTCAGTCAGTTGAAGCTCTAACAGGACAGAATAGCATGTTGGTAGACAAAAATGATTTTACAGTGCTTTCAGTTATATACAATCTACAGAGTCGTAAATAGCTCTCATAGAATCAGACTCAGAATCTTGGAAGAATTAGGCAATGCACGAATTTCCACTAAAGCATGATTTCTTGTTCCCTTCAATACATATAAAATGCTTAGAATGGTTAGCACTCTTCAAGTAAATTTAGTACAAAATAATTTTCTTTCCAACTTAAATCACAAGTCGAAATAAATTACTCAATTATACATTTTAAATTGGAATTGCATGGCCAATCTATTAGATAGTTCAATAGGCCAGTGTAAATAATACAAATACTAAAACTACCAGATATATATTAATTATTCTTAAACTCAACACAAAAATATTAATACTGTGGGTCTTATTTAGAGTCTCATTTCTGTTCTTAATTCTAATTTTTTCCCAAGCTAGAAGACATTTTTAATCATTAAGCGAGTTAGTCTTCCCCCCCATTAAACTCTGGTTCTTTATGAAACCATCCACTGGCTTCCCAGGTTCCTAATAGTTAGGGCTGCCCTATTTAAATGGAACCTCCTTTTACACCTGTCATCCAGGTCTAATTAATAGCATTCCTTTTACTCTCACAGGTGTGTCCCAATCTGAAGGATAGATTACTAATAGATCTTACTAATAGACCATAAAGACCAGTGGCCTGTGGGGTATGCTGGGACAGTCTGAGCCTTGTTTATTGTCGCTATAACTAGGAGTCAATAACTTAAAAAGGGGTTGGTCTCTCAGGACCACCTCAAAATCTGCAATCCCCACGGAGGTGGTAGAGAACATCCTTCACTGCTTCAGTTGAATTTTGCATTTCTTTGGCTCTCTTAAGATACTTGGTGTCTTCCCTCCTAGCTTACTGCAGGAGCATCCTAACGGTCTCCTACCTCCACCCTTGCTTGCCCATCACAGTCTATTCTTCACACAGCAGCCAAAGAGATCTTTTTAAATGTAGGCCAGGCCATGCCCCTCCTCTACTCAGAACCTTCAAGAAGCTTCCGAGTTATCTCAAGATAAAAGCTCAAAGTCCTTCTAGTGGCCCCAAAGGCCCTACATGATTTGGACCTTCTTTATTTTTCCAATTCTACTTATTACTTTCACTCATAATTCAGCTTTTATTCCACTGGCCTCCTTGCTGTCCCTCACACTTGTCAGGCTTTACACATTCCCTATGTCTCGAACATTATTTTCCCAGAAATTCCCGTGGTTAATCCTCTCACTTCCTTCACGTTGTTGTTCAAATGTTACCTTCTCAATCCGGCTTTCCTAAATTTTAGAATTTAACATTCCTGTTTGTTTGTTTTTTTTTTAACTAATCTATAGCATGTGTTACCTTCTAACATACTATGTAATTTGCTTGTTTTTGTATTTCTTATTTCTGTCTTTCTCCATTAGAATATAATCTCCATGAGGGCAAGGTTGTTTTTGTTGTCATCTGTTTTACTCAATTATGCATCCGTGTATCCAGAAACAGCCTGGCATATAATCAGTAGTCAAAAAAAATATTTGTTTAATAAATGAATGTATGAATGAATGTCTCCAGAGGCACTTTAATGACATTCTTTCGGGTTCCTCATACCCTTTTGTAATTCTTTTTTAAAGTCCTTAAGTTTTATTGCTCTGTTAAGGTAGATGAAATTCTACCTTTGTTTTATATTTTTCTTGGTTATCTGGGATACTGGTTTTCTAGATTCTGAAATGACATCTGATGGGATTCCACATCTGTCTCCACCTGTTTGACCCTATGTTCACATTGCTAAAACCATGTTAAAGACGCTCCTTTGAACAGCCACCTCCAAGAAATTAACTCCATCAGAGATTCCTAAACTTTCCAAATGTAGCACTCCTAAGCAAGAGGAAGCAGGAGAGGGCACCCAGGATATCTGGGACACCCAGTTGCCATCCAGAGCAAACAGGACATTCCTTTGAAGTCTCCATCGTTGTTGTTGTTGTTGTTAATTTAACTTTCAAAAACTTACAGATAATTTGAATTCTATTCCATCATTTAACTGTTTTTCACGTGGCCTCATATATACCTTCCAAGAATATTTCTTTGTGCCTTCAGAATAATACAATTCTGTATTTAAATATCCCAGTAACTTGACTCAAGTAAGTGACTTGATGCATACAATGGCAGGCACTGGAGGAGGCCAGTGAAGAAGGCAGTGCTATGTGTGCGTAAGCCCCGATCCTCAACAGTCAGACCAGCTCTATAGAGGCCATGCTCATCCTGTCCTGTTGGTCCAGATCCTTTGGTCCAGAATGCCTAGTTATTTCACCTGTGTGAACAAACACTAGCTATCTTGGAGTCTGTTTTCTTTTATCAGCTCTCATAAAGTAGTAGACATAGAAAACTAATCAGAATCCTTAAAACATAGTGTTAAATGAGCAAATTTTATCTGGATTTATCATTAATTGAAATCAGGTTCACCTCACAGAGCTGAGAAATTATTAACTTGAATTGATCTAACCATACAATTATTTCAATATTTCCTTGTCGTACAAGTTTGTTTATTACCCTTCAGATTGAGATTTATTAACCAGAGGTTCATGGGCTTCATAGGGGTCCATGATTGTCCTCCTGGGAGTTTGTGATGAAATGAAAATTTGTATACAAGTATATCAGTGCACTGCTGAGAGAATCTATGACTTTCCTCAGATTTTCAAAGATGTCCTTGACCCCTGCACCCCCCAGAAAGTTAAGAAATTGTTTCAGAATAATTTGGCTTTTTCGTATGACACGTATATATTTGGTATTAAGTATGATTCAATCTTTTTATGTTATTACAAAGAACATTAAAGTGTATTTTATTTTTTTTATTTTTTTTAATTTACTATTATTTATGCCTGCAGCACCTGGTCTTCCTAGCTGGTCTCCCATCCAAGTACTAACCAGGCCCGACCCTACTTAGCTTCCGAGATCAGATATCGGGCTTGTTCAGGGTGGCATGGCCGTAGACCATGAATCGTGGCTCCACTGGGGCGTGAACCCAGGATCTTCTGAGTGTAAAGCAGACGTGCTAACCGCTACACTATGGAACCATGTCCCTAAAGTGTATTTTTAAAATAAACAAAAATGTCCTGACCTTTGACTGTGATATACATTATCAGGATTACTTTTTCATGCCTCACACTTAGCTCTTGAGCAAGCTCTTCAGGTAGAGGTTCACTAAATGTGGCTATTCTTCAAGTCAATATTTTAAAAACGGATCTTACAAGTGTCTAATGCCTCATATTGGACATTAAAACCTTCATCCGGACCCTGTTTGAATTTTCACTGAAGCTGGATTATATTTTTAATTACTCTTTGCTTTTCATTACTGCAACTGAAAAATAGTTGGAGGAAATTTTAAGTATGGGCAAAATGGTTCTGTTTATTCAAAGTTACAAAC